CCCCCCCCCCCCCCCCCCCCCCCTCCGCCTCTCCCGCCGGCGCTCGGTTCCCGCCGTTCCGTGAGGCGCTTTGTGGTCGCCATGTTGCTGCGGGTGCTGTTTGCGCGCGCCCTCCGCCTGCTGCCCGGCGCCGCGCCGCGCCGCCCCGTTCCCATCCCCGTTCCTCCTCCCATCCCCTCAGCCGCCTCTCCAGCCTCCCTCTTCTCCCGGCTGCCTTTTGTCCGCTTCTTGTCCCTCCGGCGCCCGGCCGGCCTGGCGGCCATGGCGGTGCGGCGGGCCCGGGCCGGGCCGTGCATGGCTCTGGCTCTGGGGCTGGCGCTGCTGGAGCCGCCGCTGGAGGAGCAGCGCCGGGCAAGGGCCGCATGTGGCCGCATCCAGGTGTGGGGCCTTGAGGGGGGGAGAGGGGCTTGGTGATGATCTTAGCGGCATTTTCCTGCCTGTTCTGTTCTGTTGTCCCTATGATTACAGCCTGAATGTCAGCCCCTGGCTGGACCATGCCTGTCCCCGTGTGTGGAATCACTAAATGGCTGGGATGGAGGGGACCTCAGAACCCATCCGGTGCCAACCCCTGCTGTGGGCTGGTTAAAAAAAAAAAAAGGCATTTTGCTCTTTCCAATCACTCGGGTTTGCCTTCATTGTGCAGTCTTGAATAACTGAGTGCTTTCTCTTTATGCTTTTCTTTTGTTATTCCTTTCAGACTGTGTTTGTCGAGAAGAACAAGTCACAAAAAGATCCTCTGAGCTCTTTGCGCTGGCAGGGCTTCAAGCTGGAGGACTATCTGATCGGGCAGCCCCTCGGGAAGGGCTGCAATGCAGCTGTCTATGAAGCAGCAATTCCTTCATCCCTCCATCACCGGGGGAGCACGGAGGGCTCAGATCTGTCTGTGTCTGAAGAGGAGCCGTCTGACAAACACCAGCAGCAAGCTGCTTTCCCCCTGGCTATCAAAATGATGTGGAACATCTCGGTAAGGAGTCAGCTCTTAATCTTCTTGTGTGTTCCATCCTTGGAGGTGCCCAGGGTCAAGTTGGATGGGTCCTGGGCAGCCTGATGTGGTAGGGGGGCACCCAGCCTGCACAATGTCTTGGAACTGGGTGATCTTTAAGGTCCTCTCCAGCCTAACCTATTCTATAAGGAGATGATGTTCAGTGCCAATTATTAGTGACTAATCACACAGCCAGTGATTAGCAGTCATTATTAAATGCGGAGGTTGGTGGCCCTGCATGTGGCAGGGGGGTTGGAGATTGATAATCCTTCCAACCCTGGCCATTCTGTGATTCTGTCTAGCTGACAGCACGTTGCTGTTGCAGGCTGACTCTTCAAGTGAAGCCATTCTGCGCAACATGCACCGAGAGCTCGTTCCAGCCACACGGACTGCCTTAGCTGGGGAGTACGGAGCTGTCTTCCACCACAGGTTTGGTAACCATGGCAGTGGCAGCTGTTCTTTAAGTGTGATGTGCAAATTCTATCCAACTTGATCCATCAGTTTTCATTTTGCAGCACGTCGGTGCTGTAGAGAATGCAGCTGCAGGTTTCTGAGATGGTTGTTGGGAAGAAATGAGCACGAATCCTTGGGATTATTCCGTGTGTGTGAATGCCTTAGCTAAATGGCACTGCCTTTGGTAGTGCTGTATGCCTGAGATGCTATGTAGGAGCACGCTTCTGCCTATCCTAGTGACTTTTCTCTCTAGTGAGCATAGCAGCAGTGCTGTTCAAATAATAATTCAACAGTGTTTGCTTTGAGGAGCAGTTGGCATGCAGGAGATCCCTGCAGCTTGGCTGTATGCTTCCCTGCAGTGTCTTAGTCTTGAAGACTTGAAAGGACATGGGATGATCAGGGACCCACCTGCTTTGGGTCTGATGGGGCACCGTGCCTCGGTTTCCCCGTGTGTAAAGTGCATAAATTGCATTGCTTCTGACAGTGAAAAGGTTAACTCTGTTGGAAAAGCTGGGAGGAGCTGTTTCTGAGAAGTCATCTGAAAGTATAATTGTGCTTTTTAATTACAGAATTAAACACTGACGTTTTGTAGTAGTTTGGTGCTGAATTGAAAGGTGCAAGGGAAGGGAGGTGGAAGCTGTTGCAGTGCAGGTTGCTGCATGCACAAAACAGACATTGGTGAGAAGGCAGATGGAAAGCAACTGTTAACTCTTCTTCACCTGAGCTATGGGTAGGCAGGCAGCATTGAGGTGGCAGATTGCACGGAAACTTTCCAAGGATTTTGACTTTAATTGTGCTCTTGTTCAAAAACTTGTCTTTTTTTCAACTGGAAACAGTGGAATCCACAATCCAGACTGCCTGATTTACATTTCAAATATGTCTGTGCCAATGCAGGTGGATAATGAATATTTCTCAGTGTGTCCTTAGCCTGGGAATGCAACAGAGAAGCCAAAGGGCTATCTGACATTCAGAGAGGAGAGCTCTGTTTTGCAGATGCATATTCAGTAACCTGAATGCTTCCTGTCTATGCCAGTAAATAAGAGGTCTAAGGTGATCTGCTTAGTGTGAATCTGGCCTTTATTTTCAGTCTAACAGGGTAGGGTTATGGAAAGTGAAAGGCTGCACGTCAAACATGAACGTTTCCACCAAATCTTCCTTTGCTGTGCAGGTAAAGCAGCAGCATTTCTGCTCATCCATCAGGCTGCAGAAAATCCAGTCACAAGGTGACAGCAGAACAAACGTGTTTGGAACCCTTTGGTGGAGGGGATGTGGCACAGTAATGAAAAATAATCCTGGAGGTGATAGGGATTGGTGTAACTTGTGATGTCTGTATTTTGCACAGAGCACCTGTCCTTGGGAGGAAGAGGTTGAGACCTCATCCAAATATAATCCAGGTGATCCGAGCTTTCACATCCTCTGTCCCGTTGCTGCCTGGAGCCCTCACAGACTATCCTGATGTTCTTCCAGTGAGCCTGAATCCCAGAGGGATTGGTCGCAGCCACACGCTCTTCTTAGTGATGAAAAAGTAGGTGGGGAGAAGCGTGCTGGGAGCTGGGACTTTGTGGGGTTGCCCAGCAGGGCTGTGTGTTCTGCTGCTGCATGGGTCCTGCTAGAGATTTGGCTTGGGTTGCTGCCAAAAGCCAGGGTATGTGCTTGGAAACAAGGCTCCTGAGAGCTGTTGAGATTTTAGCTCTTCAGCAATAAAGACAAGCTGTCCACAGTAATAATTGCCACAAAGAGATGCAGAACTTGCCCCAAAAAGTGAATGTTGCCTCTAGGTGGAACATGCTGCTAGAGGCAGAGGAGAAGATGAGATTTGGTGTCTCTGTCTGCCTCAGCTGGGTTTTGTTATTCAGTGGGTATGGCTGTGCCACTGATGTAAAACCACTTTCTGTTTCCCACTTTTCTGTTCTGTCTGCATCTGGAGGAGCCCTCTGTCCTTTTTGTAGCTCAACAAAACGTTCTTTTGCTCAATCTGCACATCTCTGTTACACTCCTACAGTCTGTATCAGTGATATGTCCCCTCTCTGATGCAAGGAATAAAACCTGTATGCGTGTAGAACCCTGTAAGAAGGGAGACCCTCGCCGTGCTGGTGACTCAAATATGGAAAGGTGTGGCAAAGTTCAGTAAGAATTTGTCACTTCTGAGTGCAGTGTAACCCCAGCCAGGCAGCACTGAGGTCGGATGGGAAGGGAAGAGCTCCTGGGATGCTAATTGAGGTATCTTCCATGTTCTCACTAGCTATCCGTGCACCCTGCGCCAGTACCTGAGGGACAACAGCCCGGATAGCCGTCTGTCCAGCATGATGATTTTGCAGTTGCTGGAAGGCGTGGACCATCTCGTTCGACACAGGATAGCGCACAGAGACCTGAAGTCTGACAACATCTTGGTGGAGTTCGATTCTGGTGTGTAGATCACTGGGTGTAAGTCTGTCTGTGGACGTAGAAGGTTGTGCTGGAGCCCCAGGGAGAGGTGCTGGGTGTTGCACAAGCAAAGAGGATGTTGGCTTGAAGGCATACAGAGCTGGCACAGCTGGAGGTGCCCTGGCATTAGGCTGTGCCATTCCTCGCTTGCCAAA